AGGGTCCTTCACCTGACCTGAACGACTTTGCCTGAGGTCTTCTCTGCCACGGAGGGAGGGGGCTCCATTAGACCTCCAAACACACAATTCATCACATCATGTTCCGTTTTCACGCTTAATCAGACATTTATATGATAGAGCCGGAAGATTGATCTGAATTGGTCACATGACCTCTTGTCTTTGGCCCTTGTTTGGAGGAGTCCATGAAAAAGCTGTGTTTTCTTGCTTGAGGTATACCTAGTGCCTGACTCAGGCTGGCTCTGTCTGTTGTTGCCACTACATGCGGCTGTAGAGACCATTTCCGAAACCACAGATCTTTCCACAAATGCACCACATGCTGTAAGAGCAGGAAGTGGTGGCAAAGATGGTCCAGCAGATCAGTATGTGAGCTGCCTCAACGAGCTTCATTCTGCAGCTTGTACAATACAGCACTACAAAACTTTTTACAACCCCATTCTCTTTCTCCTTGGTCCTTCTTTTTTGCCCCTTGTAAAGTTCACTGATATGATGAAAATGACAGACTGCTGGTTGCCTTGGTAACTCTTGTAGGGTGAGAGCCTGATAACTGTCCTCCATAATGAAATTACATCTGCTTATGGTTTAATACATTCTGTGCACTGAACACAAATGTCTAGTTTCATTCTGGCAGACCTGATCTTTGTGTCCATTTATGGTATGCCTGCTGTCTCCCCCTGTGGTCACACTGGTATGTATAGGGTCACAGATCTGTTTTTAATTTTCAACCATCACTGAAAACTTTTAATGCAAGCATAAACTTTGACGTATGCTGTTATCCAAATACCCCTCTGAAGCTGACAGCAATATGTTGAAAAGCCAGCAGATAAGAAGAAAAGATAAAGTAAATTTAGGTGTAAGACCACAAGTCCCACTACTTTGATCCCAACCTTTGTAGTGAAAGCGGTGTAAGATATTGTTTTATCTACTATTATTTAGAGGTAAGAATGGTATTGTGCTTGGTCTGAAAATACAGATTTCTCCTTGTTAAAAAAAAATTATTAAAATTGGGAGGTTTTCCTCTGCAATAGTGGGCGCCATTTTCCTGCTGCGATGATCCTCCACTACTTTGGATATTGAACCCACATAAGTGGAAGAAAAGACTTCAAAAGCTTTGCTCATACTTCACCTGTGCAATTGTTTTCCTCAAAGGACCAAACCAGCATATGTCGACCTATAGGGCTGATGGAGGAGTCAAAAACAGCAGGTCTGTGATCCTCATCCCTTCCCCCGGTGCCTCTGGGGATCTTGATGACCAAATGGATGTTTTGTTCTCGCTCTCTTTGTCCTCCTCAGGTAGAGAGAAAGAAAGCTCTTACACACAATCTACTTTCTGCTTGCCAGCTCATGCAAAGAGCAGTTCTTTCACTATTGTTTGATTTTGGCAAATGTGTAATGCGTAACGCTTAGTCGGTGTAATGCTCAATATCCTCACCAGCTTGTCTACTTTCAGTCAAAGCTGGCATTCATCTCTGATTTTAAGATTAAGGTCAAATCACCTGGGACAGGATGTGAACCGTTCCCTGCAAAAAGCTTATTCTGATATCAAATATACTCTTACTCACAAAATCTAAAGCCTCCTCCAAAAACACATTTAAACACAGTTAAACATAGTTAACTGAGTTTAGGTTCATAAAATCAGAGTGTAACTTAAAGTAATCATGGTGAACAATTACTCATTATAACTAAATTAAAAAAAATAACAGGCACTGCAACTAGTAATACATATTCTTCTGTATTACATAGACTCACAACTCCAAATGTTGTGACATTACAAAGAAATTTTAGCCGTGCTTTTTATATATGCTTTCAAATAATGTATGCTGTAAATGATATTGTTGCATTACTGATAATTGCATATGTGATATAACTATGATTCTACTAAATATCTTCTGTACCATTAGATCAGGGACGGACATTGCTTTATTATTGTTTTGCACAGTTTGTACAAAAATGAGTAAAACTTGAAGTGAGTGAGAGAGGATTGTATTAAAGTGAAGTAACCAACATATACTGATTAATCTGGGTGGCATTGCAGAGAACCAGAGCAGCTGTTTTGGACAGGGAATCAGGGTGATTCTGAGACGACAAGCTCTCCGCCAGCCGTGCCACGGTCAAAAGGTCTCTGAGCGGTTGACTAGCTGTGGCACAGTGGATTTTTCTAGTATTACTCTCTTTAAGTCCTTAGGGGAACAATAAACAATGACTGGACTTTTCCTGTAAAAAGCTGCTCCTGTCCTTATAATCAGGAATTACTAACTCACCACAACGAGCTTGTCCAATCCCATGATTTCACCTTCACGTCAGTAGTTCAAGGATAAATTCAAGAGCACTTGCAAGATTTAGGGTCTGTCCTTTGGTCTACTAAAGGAACACAAGTTGTTCGTGTCCTTATTTTATTTATCCACTACTTACTTAGGGAAATTGGACATTGACATTGAGCAGGGTTGTATTAATAAAAAACAAACATCCCATATTGCCAACAAAGTGGGAATATTAACAAAACAATATTAAATGAATAAATCTTTGAACTGCATCTGCTGAATTGTTGTGTTGTTGCGTTTGGGTGCTAGAAACCCTTAAGCTTTGCTCTATTAGCTACCGTACAGTCAACACGGATTACATAACAGACACAACACAATTTGCCAGGCTGGATCTCTTGCATGACTGCAGCATATAGATTAACTTGTGTTAGTCTATCCTCTGTTATCCACAGGTCAGGACTGGGTGGCTGATCTTACTGGCATAAGGTCACAGATTAAGATGCTTGTGTATTTCCTCTTGTTCATTGGAAATTATTGTATAAGTTTAAAATACAACCAGTAAGGCTCCATCTGGTGAGTGTGGAGAACATGTACAATATAATGTACACTCATCTTCACTGTGTAGTTTGCAAGCTTTCCCGTCAATAATCTTCCAGAGATAATTGTTTTCTTCTGTGCTCTAATCTCACCGTGTGTAGAAGTAATTATTTTCTCAAAAGTATCTGTAAATGTGTAATTAAATTTTTCTTTTTCTTTACCCGTGAAAAAAAATGGATATTTAGAGAATAAAATTAAAAACAAATTACACGAAAAAAGAACAAAAACATTTGTTTTTTAAAGAAAAATAAATAATTACAATTGGTAATTGTGAGTCTTACAGGAATAAATGATATTTATTAGACTACTATGGTTACTGTAAAGAAGCTAACCTAAAAACATGTCCAAAAAATAATTGTAATGATGTCAGTTATATTTGGCTTTAAAGCAGTGTGGACTGATTCTTAACCATTAGGGGGCACAAAGACAGAAAGATAACATGTGTTAGCAGTTACTTGTTGTATATTCTGTCTGGACATGAAGTGAATTTAAGAAGTGACACGACTACATATAAAATCGATGTAAAGAAATGACTGGTGTCTCACAGAGGCAAATTCACCCTTAGTGCTAAAGAAAAAAAAAGGACTTCACAACATTGACACACAGAGACAAAAGAGAAAAGGCTGGACTGAGACATCAGAAAGACCAGGAGTCCTTTGTGAGTTTTGATATCACAGTGTGAGCTCGCTCATAACACACACAGCCACCATACAGTCGATGTGTATATCATCTATATGTCTGCAGCTAATGTCTTACAGCTAATGTCTGTACAGTAAGCATATGGCCTATTTGAATAAATAGGAACACACTTAACAAATACAGTGGTCAAATGTGCAAAAAATAACACAAGGCAGAAATTCAATCACTTCAATCTCCTTTACCCACCTGACCAATGCAAGTCCAATGTTCACTCTGTTTTGGTCTCTATCCATCCTCAGCATAGTTCATCCTCAGCAACCTCTGTTTGATGCTATAATTCTACACCTGGCTTGTCCAAGCTTATGAACCTGCTGTCTGTGGGTTGGTGAGAACTGCGAAATTCAACAATAGAGTTTACATATGTGCCAGGGAACCAAAAAGAAAACAATTAGCTAAAAGCTAATGACCACAAAATTAGTTATTTCTGAGTTGTTTTTGGCACATGTGAGCTTGTCAGACTCTTGTGGGTTAAATGTTGGCAAAGTCTATGCGTTTTCAGGTTATAATGAACTTGTCATGAAGTAAGAGTGAAAAGAAGTACTTGTCACTTTGATATTGGCTACTTGGTTACCATAGAGACACATTAAATTACAATACACCAGCCAGTGTCTCATCTATTGGTCCAATATTAGTTGGTTTACCCATGTCCTACACACACACACACACACACACACACACACACACACACACACACACACACACACACACACACACACACACTGTACACACTGTACAAAAAATCAGACTGCACATGTCCTGAGACCCACATCACTTGGTAAACAATCACTGACTAAAATAAAGCCGGCTTGCCCCCTCCCCCTGATCTGCCTCTTCCTCTTCCTTCTCAGTTTATTTTTCCCAAAGGAGGAAGTCAAAATAATGATCCGTCTTATCCTCAGTCTGTCACATATACACTTGGATAACTGGGAGTGAAATCTATATGCAGAAGCAATTGGCCTGAAACAATACCTCCCCTTGTACGCTTATTCCTGTCTTAAATACCCATGTCTTAAGTAAACAGTAAACGTGTGTAAAAACAGGGGAAATGTGCACATCCTTTAAAATGATTAGAGCCTTTGTAAAGATGCACACAAAGAGGGCGTATGCTGAGGGGAGGTCTGTGACCCTGCAGGCTCCTCCCCTCTGCATAATGTGCCGGGTTCATTGAAATAAGTAGACAGCGGAGACGCAGCACAGCACCACAGCGGCTTCTCGGGGCACTCAACAAACGCATAGGAGAACAGCCACAACTGAAGTGTCCGACAACAGGAACTTAAAATGTCTCGCGTCTGATTTGTAGAGTCAACTGAACAAGGGTTTACGGAAATAAGAACTTTAAAAAAAATAAATAAATTTTAGCGAAGCGGATGGAAATCATTCGGGAGTGCAGCTTCCTCTCCTCCTCTTCAGCTGTGGTACCCTGAACTCAGACTACAAAGGGACGAGAGGTCGGGCACCGGTTAAAATGGATACTTTCTTTGTAGAGGTAAGTTAGCTTACTTTCTTCATGCATCAATTGCGTGTGTATTTGCTTCGCTACTTTCAACGTGACTTTCAAATTATTTTGGGAGCGCGGCGGCTCTTTGTTTTGTTTTACCATGTTGTGTTGTGAGCGTTTCTGAGCCTGGCTTGTTTCAGATCAGTTCATATTTTAGCCTCTGGAAAGCGTAAGTTCACTCTATCATTAAAAAAAAAAACCCGCAACTTTTCATATTGACGTTCTGCGTTTGAGGTGTTTGTGATGCTTTCTCATCCACTGATATTTCCCAGACCAGCGGTGGTGTGCCTGCACTGCGCTGGTCTACAGGATGCAGCTGTAGTGGGGGGAACTTCAATACCCCAGCAAGCATCCGACACATTTAAGAGTACTAGTGCTACGCCATCTCCTTAAGTTCTGCCCACTTAATTTAATTACTGACAATCAGGCACTCTCTGTGCCTCAGATTGATTTTTTTTTTTTCTTTTTTCTTTTGTAGTTTTAATCTGTGGCAGAGACTCCAGCAGACACTGCCTATAAATGCTGAGTGTGTGCCCATGCAGGTTTGGATGTGTCATCCGCAAATCAGCCCAGACACAAACACACTCACACACATAGAGACTGGCTATAGGTCTGATTTGTCATCCCCCTCTGACTCAGAGGAGGGCACACACACTCACAGAGGGAGAGGCAGTGTGTGTGTTTGTGTGTTTAATGTTGTGAATCTCCTCTTCTAATGGTCCCTCCATTCACCTCTTGTACTTCTGTCGCCAGCATCAGCCCTGTCTGCCCCTGAGTGCTGTGCTGAGCTGTGACTCAGTACGGGAATAATATTAGGAGGTGGCTCTTTCTATGTGAGCTGCTCCGTACTCTCACTCATACCACTCTCCTTTCCAATGGCTTTACAGTGTCAAAAGTTGTATTTTATGCCTAATGAGTAAGGTTGTTTTTTGTCTTTGTTAACAGTTATCAACCCTGTACAAGGAGTGATACTCAGCTTTAGCGTGGTATATAAGGATGTTATTGGGCTATTTGAGGTTATCCATTCTTTTACATGACAGAGATTCCTGTTTGACCACAGCTACTGTATGTAAAAACACTGTGGAAAAGTGTTATTTTCCATTTACTTCTTGTCAGTTTTTGAAAGAAAGTGGTCAGATTGAGCAATGTCCCTTACAAAAATGAAGTCCAAAAAATAAAAGGCATTGGTTTCCAAAAGGGCATATAGTTATAGAACCATATCATCTCTAAACTGCGGGTTTCTGTAATCTTTTGTATAAATCAACCATGTAGCAAACAGATTGGGGTGAGCTGGATTTTGGACCATAATCTGATTTTATTAGAGTGATATTCTGTACAGAGGAAGGTTATTATTTTAGCTCAGCTCAGCAGAGATCATTGTTGTAATTTGGTGTGTATCTTTTGTCCTGGACCAACTGTGTGAGATTTCCCTAGTGATTTCTTTGACTTCATCCAGACCCCATTTTCTTTATCTAATGTGGTTATGTATTATATTGCTTTTCATCCTGAGATATGGCAAACTGTGCTGTCCCATGTCTTGACCGACAGAATTTATCTGGGAAGGACAAAGTTTCTACAGTAATTTGGTCAGAATAGGTTGATTTATAGTATTTGCACAATGCTGTATTTCACTCCATCCTGTATTAGAGTCCAGCAATGAATTCTACCTTTGTGAAGTTGAGATGTTGAGAGGCTTATTCTTGACCTTGAAAACAGTAGTTGACAAAAAATCTCACAAAAGATTGGAGCTTTTCATCCTGTCCAATTATCTTCGGCAGTGAGTCACTCAGATGAGAGGTTCTTGAAGTGCTCACAAAAAAAAAAAAAAAAAAAAATTTGAGCATCTGCAATTATATGACAACTGAGCATGGTCTCGTTATACGATCACAAGCTCCAGAACAGCTACTGAAAGGACATGGCGGTGAGATTATTTTGTCAACTACTTTTTTAATAAAGTTTCAAAGGGGTGGTCATTTGTTTTTGTCAGGGGGTATTAGTTAAAGGCAATTCAGCCGACTCATGTAAAAGCAAACTCTGCCTCTGTAGCTGCTCTGGAGCAACTTCAAGTACCAATCCAGGTGTATCTGTGCTGGGTGTTTCACCTCTCTGTTCAGACCTGTGTTAGAATAAATCAATGGATTGCCCTGGTTTTTCAATGACTATTGGGTCATGGAATGAAGCCAGAGATTTGAATGCCACAGTGCTACCAGTGTGGATTTAATTAAGTGGGAATTCTGGAAGTGAAGTAAGACGAGGATTAAACTCAACTCGGTGAAATCAAGTGCAGCGGGATAAATATTGCATGATTAATTACTGTTAATCAATCTTTTCTTGGCAGCTATAGATGTGGATGTCAGTGCATTTACAATATGACTGAACCCAGATCAGAATCGGCCTAAAAGGATTCCTTTGCAGATCAGGTTTGTTGAAATTAACGGCGACCTGCATTTGTCCAGCATCTCAGGTCAGTTTGCCTAGTACAAATCTAGAGACGGCTTCCCCTGGCATGTCACTGTTAGCACTGATGATGAAGATGGTGACGGGGTCAGAGATAGTGGTAGAGTAAAGATGAGTGGCAGGTACAAGGGCGTGCGCCCAGAGGTATATCCTGTAAGCCCATCCTGTTCATCGGGCGCCGCCTTTCCTCTCAGGAGCTCACACAGCACCATAAAACCCTCAGTGCCGCTGCCTTTACTCCACACCCAATCCGTCCTCTGAATGGATGTCACCCAAAAGACACACAAATTCTTGGAGCGTGCCAGAGATCTTGTCAGGCTGTTGGATTTGGTCATCCTAGACTTCCATATGTCAGGGAATATGAACATTATACTGTGTAGTCCCACAAATGTGTGTGTGTGTGTGTATGTGTCTTAAAAGATAAAGAAATACATTATTTCTCATCCTCTCTTTTATCTCTTCACAGATGAAAACACAGTGAGATCAGACACACAATCACACATCCGCACACATGACAGCACCAATTAAACTTTTCATGTCTTTGTGAAACATCCTGTTGACGAAGCTGAATCCCAGCTATGTGCATTTCTAAACTTGGTAATCAGTTCTTTTATAGCAGCAGCTGCTACACACTGTAAAGCCACATGAGGACCTTTCCACACCCGTTAACTCCTTCCTTGCATTACACACCAAATTCCATCCTCTCAAAGATACTCTGACAGAGGGAATCCCAAATGCCCAGCCCTGACCCCTGAAATTCCCGGTCATGGCCGCCTCTTATCCATGCACTGTGCTGGTGGGCAAGGCTTTAGGTTTCACACCATCACCACTGCCCCCCACCCCCACCACACACACAGAGACAGACACACTCCTGAAACATCCATCCTAGCTCTATGTGCTGTTTATGTCTGGCTCTTTGAAGCTGGTGCCGTGGATCGGCATGCTCCGTAAGCATTCTGTAGTGGGTAACGTGAGAAAGGCCAGCCTGATGCTCCTGACGGTGGACTATTTTTTTCTTGCGATGGCCGGGTCTTTTCTACCCAGTTGTCACTTCCTCCAGCTGCCACTTTAGAGAGCTGAGAATCTGAGACCGTTGCCTTTCGACTCCTGCCATGCAGAAGGCTGAAGGAGTAAGGAAGGATGTCAGGAAGTGAAGCTAGGATGTAAGGAAGGAAGGAAGGAAAGCTACAAAAATGGTCTAATGGGTCCTGCATTCCTGTGAATCATTTCTAAGCAGCTGTTTTAACTTGTGATGATCTTGAAGTGGTTATTGTGTGCATTATCGCATCAAATTAGGGGATTTTCAAACAGTGCTGCTGAGAGTCTCTGAGTTGTGGTGAATTAACAGTGCTGGTTGTTTACGAACAAACAGAGGGAGGTATTATTAAGGCAGTGGTTTATGTGTGCGTCAGCAGAACTCCTGCAGCTTTGGTACAGTCTGGAGGTGGTTTAATCTGTCACAAGAGCACTGGGACTAATTGCCAACAGCCATTGTCTGACCACGCACCAAATAACATGGATAATCCTCATAATGACACAGTTTCTCGGTGCTAGCGGAGGTGATATAGGTTTGGAGGCCACCGCTCATGATAGACAAAAATGTCAAATTTGAATTTTCCTTTTTGACGCATCAAACATTTTTCTACACTTGTAGTCTGGCCAACTTTGCTTTGAAACCAATCAACTGTTGGATCATTGCCTGAATCTGGCCTTTTCGCCTCGCTAGCTTGTGTTTGCATTTCTTGTGCCTCTATCAGTAACCTGACCCATGTCTATCAGCAAGCTGACACACGGGGAGGTCAGTGCTGTGATAACCTCCTGCTGACACCATGCTGTTGATTTAAGCTTTAACCTGCTACATTACCAAGCCCTTCAGACAAAGCCGTCAATGTTTGCAGTGATTAGACGAGAGGAACACCTTCATCTTTCCACAGTTTGATCACCAACAACACATAATGCAGGGGAGAAGCGTTTCCTCCTGCCTATTAGCTCATGATGGTGGACAAACAGCTGCTGAATGAAGTGATGTTTTCATAGAGTTTTTTCCTGCTTGTTCACGATAGTTTGACATTTTGGGAAATACGTTTATTTGCTTTCTTGCCAAGACTTGGATGAGAAGACTGATTACACTCTCTAATCTGTCCAGTAAACCAACCTCAATCCATCAGCTGGTTAGCTTGGTTTAGCATGAAGCACTGGGAACAGCGGAAAACTGGCACAAAGGTAACACTTACTAGTTCACACGTTCTTCTCCGTTTCATTTGTACAAAAACCAAAGTGTAAAAAAGTTGCGGTTGTATTCTGGACTATACTGGCAGGCACAACAGTTTCCAGCAGTTTGTCGTGTTTACATTTTGGTTTTTAGTATTAATTAACTCAACAAGATGAAATATATGAACTAGTGAGCTTTTAGAGGTGCTGATGGCTGGATGATTTTAACTCATGAATAAAGCCAGACCAGCTTTAGCCTCCTGTTTCCACTCTTTATGCTAAACTACACTAAGCTAAAACCTGGCTAGCTCATGGCTAGC